TTTAAGAATCATATTACTTCAAAAATTAAAATGAACAAAAAGTATACATAAGCCTCATAATTTTATGAAATTTAATTTAGTAAAAAAAGTTTTTTGACAACAATTTTTATCAAAAAATTTCAAGTTTCAATAAAAATCATTATTTAGAAACTAAAAAACGTAAAATAAAGAATGCTTACGATACAAAGCAAAAAAGAAAAAACCAATTCTAAAAATTCCTTACATTAAAATAAACAACTTTCATGTTTTTTCTTTTTTGATTCATAATCGGACGCAGAAAACCATTCTATAGAAAACTATCATCAAATAAGAAAAAAACTACTTAAAAGTAAAATTTTTTATTTTATAAAAATTAACACTTACCTGCTTTATAAATCAGAAGAATTCCAAAATGATTTGTTCTTCGATTTTTGTTACCATTTTTTAGTGCTACGAAAATGCGTCTTTGGGATTTGCCAAAAATAGAACAAGATGCAATTTTATTTTTTCAGGAGCGAAATATTTTGCCCATTGTCCACCGAAATCCGATAAACTACTTTGATTTTAAATAAAGTGTTTCATTTTATGATTTGTCACAAAAATTTTAGGTGTAGATTGGCGGCACTTAAAAACAGCCAAATCTGTAGCTGCTGTGGCGTTAATACATAAGTACCGAATTTTTATTCATACTTTTCTGAATCATATTACTTGAAACATTAGAATATGCAAGAAGTATACATAAACACATAATGTTATACCATTTATGTTTTCAAAAAAAGTATTTTGACAACAATTTTTATCAAAAAATTATAAACTATAAAACGGAAAATAAAGAATTCTTAGGATAAAAAACGATTTTAAGAATTCTTTACATTGAAATAAAAACTTTCATATAGTTTCTTTTCTTATTATTCTTATAGTTCTTAATCAGACGTAAGAAACCATTCTGTAGAGAACTATCATCAAATAAGAAAAAAAAGTTTTACAAGCTAATTTTTTATTATAAAAATCATAACACTTACCTTCTTTATAAATCCGTAGAGTTCCAAATGAAATGTTCTTCGTTTGAAAGTTTTATTTTCAAATAATATGTGCATAGATTATCCCTTTATTACTTTTAGATAACATACCACACATCAAAATTTTATAATTGTAAGATCTCGATATGAATTTGAATATGTAGCTTAAAAACAGAACAGCTGAATTCTAGTTGAAATTATCTATTCTTTCAAAACTAAGAAATACTTACCAAGAAAACGATAAAAAATTTATTAATCATCAGCACAAATGACACTATTTCAAGTAATTTGGTTGATTCTTTATTGTTGTTTTCCGAATTATATAGATACAGAAATATATACTGTTCTATAACAAAGAAGAATTCTATAACTATTGCAGTTCTTGACGTTCTGAATTCACATTTATTTATTGGAATGACGAAAGCAATGTTGACTTCATTTTAATTTGTAATGAATTGAAGACAAAATAAATTATTTTACCGTAATATACACATCTGTAACAGCAAGTGATCATGAAATTGTAAATTATGTTCTTGGTAATAGAAAGGTAAAATTATGGAGAAATTGTTCTTCAAATGCTTGGCGTGCTCTGCTTCAATGTTTGGCATGTTCTGGTAACTTTTTTCAAGTTCTTCAGCTTTTCCTTAGGGAAATTTTGATTTTTATTTGCTGCTAAGAAAGTGGCGTCCGTCATGGTCAATGATTTTTATGGAACTAAATAAAAACGTGATAAATTAATGTCTGATATTTACAGGCTCCCGCTAGAGGGCGTACTCGAGCGTTGCGATCGCGAATTGAGTTACATTTTGTTAATTTTGGAAATAATTTCGTCGCGAAATCACGTGATTTGTGATGAAACGTAACCTTTCAAACGTATGATTAAAATGTTTCCTCAACTCGAAATCTCATCGTAGTGCACCGCGGGAGATTGCTAACTAGAATGTCGAAACTAGAATCGAAAGACTAGACCTGGGATGGGCAAACTACGGCCCTCGGGCCAACAGTGGTTTATCCGCGTGAGGTTTTATCCGGCCCGCGGATAGAATTTTAACTTGCCGATCTGTGACGAATATAAACAATATAATCCAATTTTTTTGTCTACTTTGTTTAAAGCTATTTTTGTTCCTTCTTTTTTAACAAAGTATTAATGACCCTTTTACTTTCTCCATTTTTGTTCCACAAAACATAAATTGATGGAAATATGCAGCTTCATTTGGTAAAATGTTGAAAGCAAAAGTTCTTTATAGAATAGCCATTTGAAGCAGTTGTTTCCAAATATGCCATAGTTTGAGTTTTACAAATCATTACCAAACGCTAGTTTCCCAAATTTAATATTCATGGCTATTTAATAAGTGCTATGTTTGCTTCATCTTATGTATGTGAACAAGTGTTTTCAACTATCAACCTTAGAAAAAATCATTTCAGAACTAGACTAACAGTCAAACATTTAGCTTTGAGCATTAAAACAAGTACATCTCACTTGGAACCTCAATATAAACTTCTTTTAAAAATGAAATCGCAATTTCATTCATCTCATTAAATATTTGATTTAAAACTTGCATATCATTTTTCTATTTTAGAAGTTTTTACTTGGCCCACCAAACTTTTTTTCTTCGTTTCTTTGCCCTCGACCAAAAAAGTTTGCCCATCCCTGGACTAGACGATCGAAAATAAAGTGACGAAATAAACCGACTGTACTACATGATGGTCAAAGAGTTCACGTCGTACCAGGAAGATCCCGGGATCGAATCCCGCTTCGGATATGTGTGTAATTTTATACTTTGTTCTATTTATGATTTTTGGGTTGTTAAGGAGCAATTAATCGACCTATATGGTGTACACGTTTAAATGCTAATTAAGAGTCATGGTGGCTCTGGGGATAGAACGGTTCACCTTCCAATGAGATGAACCGGGTTCGAATCCCATCGATGGCTGGTCGATACAAAGCTCGCCTCCGGCTTGCAACGACCACAGTGCTGACGTAAAATATCCTCAGTGGTAGACGGATCATGGGTTAGAGTTCCCTTGCGTGGTTTTTCTCTCCATGTAACGCAAATGTGGATTAGTTCCATCAAAAAAGTCTTACACGAAGTTAAATTCCTCCCAATAGTTGATCCAGGAGTGATGATTGGGTTCAAAATTACAAGGCTACGAAGTGATTCTCAGTAGTCGTAAATCCAATAAATTGGGTCGGCTGTACAACTACGGTTATAAAATAAAATATAAAATGGTAATTAGAGAAATTAGATACCTTAAGCATCACAAGCTTTTTTTTACTTAGGCAAAAAATCGAGTGACGAAATATTTCTTTAATTTTGCCGAAATTCGTTTCTTTAAAGAAGTGACGATAGCTATTTCGTCATTTTGACGCAAAATTTGCTCGGAGTATATAAAAGGAAATGGTTTCCTTAAAAATGAAGAAAGCTACGTGATATTCGAGTATTCATTTTTTGAAGTGTTAAAGTTTAACTTTGGAACATCGACATCCCAGTCTCCACACCACAATCTTATTTATTATCTTAAGGATACTGGTTACTTCAAAAACATTTAAACCAGATTTTTAAATTGAAAAATTTTTTGGCTTGTGAGCAGAAAAAAAATTTAAAAATTTCTACTGTTTAATGAAAAATATTATATTTTGAATATTAGAAATAGGAAATTATCAGTTAGAATAAAACAATAAGTTTAATAAGTATTGCTGAAAAGAAGACAATGCTCGGTGCAGTTAACATGAATTCATAGACTAAAAACAATCAAAATATAATTATTTATTTCTGTACACAAACAAAAGAAAATAACACATTCCCTCAAGCATTAAAAAAAGTTTTTTTTCTCAATTAGGTTGAAAGATCTTTTCAAAGTTGTAGCCTATACATATTCCACAGAAGAACTGCTTCCATATTTTTACCTGAAGAAATGCCATTTTTATGTCAGCATGTTAAGAGCTGCACCTAATGTCCATTTTGTCTCAATTCCTTGTACAGTTTTAATGAACTATATAAAGAATTTAATAATTAATTATAATATGCAAAATCTAGTTCACAATCTTCACCTTTAATGGATACCCACCCAATTGTATTGTATATTCAGGTCATTATAACCGTTGATCATTTTCACCTATTAATAGTAACCCACAGATCAAAAAGTATGCAATACAATTTTGGAGGGTACCTATTAAAGGTTAAATGCATACTTCCGAAAATATAAGCTGCTGCCTTAATTCAAATCAATCGTTAGGTGCGTATATAGCCTTTATTTGACTTTTGTGCTAAAAACTGAAGACTAACTAATCACTAATAATATTCTTAAGAAAGCTATTCATTACGTTTAAGAAACGTTTATGAATAAATTTAAGAATTCGGTTAAGACAGAAAAAGATGTAAACCTAAATAAATATAGTTGTGTTACTAAGGGGAAAATAAGTCTATAAGCCACCATTGGCTCTAGTGTTTCTTAGAGCCATTTATTATGAAGTACAAAATTTGAGCTGGAGTTCCAATCTGAAGTTTAATAAACTACAAGAAGGGTGTTAGCTCAGGCACTGACTGCTGCCTCTGAAGGGGTTACAAATACTACACTACATAGTAAAATAACTGTACTATTTCTTGAAAATCTCCAGGAAATTGGGAATCCATTATCTTTTGCAGTAATTAAAAATTATACTTAGTAACATAAACATACGTTCACTAAGTTTTATGCTGTGACATCACTGAAAAAGTTTATAGAATCTCAGTTTCCAAGATATTACATAAATAATACTACAGTTCCTATTTTCAGGGTGTTTTTAGAAGGATTTGAGATCCATAGAAAAGTTTTATAGCACATTCGTAGAAATGAATAAAAACATAACTTCTAAGAAAAAATATGGCGAACGAGCAAAATATAAAGTAATTTTTTGGAGGTTAGGGTTACGGAGAGTGTAGGGACAGGGGGCTAAATCCCCGAGTTTAATTAACGTAAAAAGAAGCAAATAAACAAGGTTAATTTGTTTTGATAGCTTACCTTGATTACTTTTTCGTCTTTAAGTTCTAATCCATGCTTCCAAAGTACCGTAATATAAGTACATTCAAGACAAAGGAATGGCTGTACAGGTATTGAATTCTCACAATAATCTTTGCAGGCATTGGCAAACTGACTAACAGTACAATTGTTATTACCTTTCTTGTCTATGAAAAATGGGCAAAAAGTTATTTAAAGTATGTTAATTGCATGCTAATATTAAATAAATAAAACAGCTAACGGCTTTCAATTTTTTACAAAAATATTTTAAACATCTTGCCCATCTATCTTGAAAATCATGCTGTGAGTTTTTTAAGTGTAAGGTTTTATTCACATAATACGCTGAAACAACAAAAGAGAATATTTTTGCATTGATATTTAGATGAAGAAAAAAAAAAGAAACATTTCAAACTACATTTTCCAAGTGGGCTAAGAAACAAGAAAATAATTCTATTATTGCTAGACATGAGACGAAAAACATAGTGCACGTCACTTTCACGCACGTCGCGTCACTTATTATCACCGAATATTACCCCCTACGTCTTTCAAAAGTGATTGGCCTTGCGTTTTCCTATTCAGATGTGACAAAAATAGAATTATGATTTTTTTCCTTTTTAGACCAAGTAGTTTTTACTCTTTAAATGGTGTCTTTTGAGGTGGAAAGTGACTAACATTTTGTTTGGGATAAAACCAAACTGTTTACAAAAGTTGAAAAACAGTCGCTTCAGGTAAAGAGCTCCAGTTTAAATTTGAGTACATTAGCTAGTCGAAAAGTGGATAAAATTTTTATTGCAAGTTTCAATCTTTACGTTCACGAATGCCAGTTACTGAAAATTTAGTAGAATGGAAGTAAGTTTTATTACTTGTTTTCGCGTTTTGTTATGGGTTGTTATTTTGTTATAGCGAACCTGTCATTGAAGTACAAAAACAAAACTAGTATGCAATATTGACCCATTTTAGTTCCTTTTATTTTTAAAAGGCTCATAAATAAACATTGGCTTTTCTAACTCGAGACAATATAATCTTTTTGCGTAACACAGTTATTTCTTTTTACCCCTGTTACACTTATTTTATAACACAGTTTGATTGTCTCATCTTGGGGCCGGGATGGCCTGGTTGGTAGGGAGCTGAACTCACGTTCGTAAAAGACAGTTTGAATCCAACAGGAGTTTGAATCCAACCGGCCGAAGACTCCCGTGTAGTAAATGGTGATTGGTGTACGTTAAATCTGCCGAATCACAAACTCCTCCATATTCCTATAACAAATTATTCCTATGGGGGTACTGGAATGGAGATTGATCGTTTTCTGGTTCAGGTCAAAATTACGATCAGTGGATAAATTAATGAGTCTATCCTATAAACGGGTGAGTCAGAAGTCACATCCTTGGCCATAGATGGCGCCACTGGAAAACAAGTACAACCCTATCCCCAGTGCCTTAATAGCATACGACAACAATTACATTGCCTTATCTAAGGTTTCGGTATCTGATGCCGCTAAATTTTGGAGCTGATTCCTTTTTTTAGTGCCAGGTTTGGCGCTATGTACCCGCATTATTATTTTATGTTATTATAATGTTTTTAAATTTCTTTCCCTTAAGCTTTTGTTCCAATAACTCCTAACTAAGTATTAAGAAAACCTACCAATGAGTTTGAACGCAGCCGCACGATTAACCAGAGCCGAAAGTGCGTAGATTTCTTGCTTTTCAAAATCAATGGGTTTATGGATAATGTCACCTAAAAATTCAACAGCAGCTTCGTAGCAGTTGTCAAAACCATATTCTCTTTTAGTTTGATTCCTGTAAATAAATAACTCATCATTACAAATAAATAAACTAAATAGGTATTTAATAATACGGAATTAAGTCAGCTGCTGTATAGGAAATACATTGTGAAAAATTTTGTTTGCATAGTTGCCACCTTTTTGGCGTTGAGGTAAATTAAATATAGGATATAGGTAAATTAGATGAGGTAAATTAAATATAGGTTGTATAAAAATACATTGTTTGCATAATTGCCACCTTTTTGGCTTTGAGGTAAATTAAATACAATTTAAGTTACCGAAAATGCTGGCAATTATACACAAAGACTGTGGGTAGAGAAGGTATCGACTAGGCCAACCTTCATCTATCCAAAGGTACTTCAAAATTGAAGTTACCATGTCCTATATACTAGTGCATTGATGCTTAGTACTCGTAGTGGTAGTTAAACCACAATACTCCCCCACCAGAATTTTTCAGCGATGGAATTCGATGTACGGATAACACTAGTACGGATAACACACCGTATTTGCGAAAGACCGAGAGAGCTGTATTACGTTCACGGGATTTTGGGCCCTTGTGATTAGAGCTGTATTAAGCTTACAGAGTTTTGACCGTTTGCTGTGAGAGCTGTATTAAGTTCATGGTGGTCTCTCCCGTGTTGCTATTAGCATTTGAGTGTGTGCAGGAACCCGTTGTGTGTAAATGAGACTGAGAGGCGACAGCGCGAGAAGGACGCATTCACAAATAGCAAGTCAACTGTTTTTTGTGGACCGTTTATCGAATTAGGGGTGCTTAAATCAAGGTGGGCGTTACTCTCGATGAGAGTTTATATCATGTCCGCAGGTCACCAATGTGGGGAAAGGAGTCATCAACTATCAAAAGGTACCTCCAGATTGAATCGAGGTAGCATGTCCTATATAGTAGTGAATTGATGTTTAATAATTGTATTGTAGTTACGCCACAATTTTACAGTGCATTGACAGACAATGTAATAGAGCTGAGTAATAAATTCATAAGTTTTACTTTCAGTTGAAGATATGAAACTGATTAAGGTCCGGGATTTTGATAATACAGGGTGTTTCATATTGAATGGGACAAAAAGAATAGCGCAGTGTGACTGCCGTAATGGATTTATTCAGCCGAAGCAAATTTATTCTGCAACTACAATTATACAAGTTTTATTTGGNAAAAGGTACCTCCAGATTGAATCGAGGTAGCATGTTCTATATACTAGTGAATTGATGTTTAATAATTGTATTGTAGTTACGCCACAATTTTCTAGTGCATTGACAGACAATGTAATAGAGCTGAGTAGTAAATTCATAAGTTTTACTTTCAGTTGAAGATATGACACTGATTAAGGTCCGGGATTTTGATAATACAGGGTGATTCATGTTGAATGGGACAAAAAGAATAGCGCAGTGTGACTACCGTAATGGATTTATTCAGCCGAAACGAATTTATTCTGCAACTACAATTATACAAGTTTTATTTGGCAACAGGGAAAAATCATCGAATGACGAACTCGCCGCTAGAGGCGCTGTTAAACAAAATGTCATCCATGCAGGAGAAAGCGTACTGCGTTTTCGAATATGCCAAAACCTCCTCGGTAACTGTTGGGCAAAGACATAACTGAACTAAACTAAAGTCAAAATTTTTTGTTTGTTTTTTATTTAAGGAAACGCCAAACAGGAGAAATAGTCGTTGAAAGCCGCTGGATTGGAAAATCTTGGAAGGGATTACTGGGACAAATTATGATCGTTTTGCCCACAATATAAGTGACATATTTAAATAAAAAATTGCACGAAGACAAAATAGAAAAACTTAACAACTTTTACTTTACAAGTATTCCTTTAAAATTCTGCTCCGTGAAAAACGTTTCATTAGGATGCATGCATGGGCTAAAAAATGAGATTTTCCCATCTTTTTCGAACAAAGCTGAAAAAAAAATATTCTTCACTGTGCAATTATTACAAATAATATGATAATTAAAAAAAACAGTTGGCAAAAATAAATCTTTTTAAAAAAATTAACTCGTGTCGTACTCTTCAATTTAAAAAAGAACTCTGGAAAAGAACACTGGACGTAGAACGTATTAGTGATTTACTTTCTTCCGGTAAGCGGATTGCAAACTTCAAGCCACCTCTGATAATAACTAATTATTTTTTTATTGATAATTAATGATATTTTTTAATGACGCTGACGAAACAGTCGGTCCTAATTGTCGATGATCTCCAGATTCAGGCGATCCCAGTTGAAATGGTAGAGGGAAATCGGCTTTCCGACTCTTCTTTCAGACTCGCTTTATATTTCTATTTGAGAAGGTGATTTTATATTTGGAGATCGAAATTAGACTGGCATCAAAATATATCGCCTTTTTAGGAGTGGGGAAGGCCTTGAGTTTTTGCTCAGGAACGACAATAAGAGACACATAAGAGAGTTAAGGTATCGGACACACTAGAAAGTGTAGATATGGTTCGTATGCGATGGCCTGCTTGCTCACCAGACTTGAATTTTGTAGATGCCCTTGACAGGCATGTTTCATTAAGAATACGTCCTCCCTGAACTACGTATGAGCTGATAACCGCCTTGAGAGAGGTGCGGGGCAATATCCTCCAAGGACACCCCGATACTTTAGTGGACAGTATAAACAACAGATGCAAAACATACATTAGTATCCAAGGTCATGAATTTTACTGAGATACTCATATTTGTTTCAAGAAGACCCATTTTTCTTGGCTGTTTGGAGAAATATATATATATATATATATATATTTACACACTGCATATACTTTACAAGTACAAAAAACATTTGAAACTTTGGAGATGGTAATGAGCTGCAACAGGTTCCTTAATGGTAATATCTCTCATTAAATCATTACTTTGAAAGCTATTGTGACAAAGATTCTAAAAATACATAGTAAGAGTGATTATTACAGAAGGTCCTAAATAGTAAAATTTGCATTTTTGTCCTTAAAAATGAATTGTTTTGATTATGTATACATTTGGAGGGAAAGCAATGGGAATTTATAATTAAAATGTTTT